AACTATGCCATCTACCTTTTGATGGCCTTTGGTTTATGAGCTCACAGTGATCACTATTTTGTCTCAAGGAAGAGATGAGCCAGGAACTACATTGTATCTGGTCCTGGTAAAGAGCTTTTCCCACTAGAGACAGTTACAGCTAGTGCGGCTTGGCAGCGTTCTTCCTCAAGGAGCTATTTTTCCTATCTTTACTGTGATCCCCCCCCCCAAAAAAAGCACTAGAACACTCACAAACTGTAATATTTGGTCCCCCAAGTGTTTATTTTAGTTGCTGCTCCCCTAAAAGATGAACTAGGAGCATCATTCATCTGAAAATGTTTGTTGTGTGTACCTCTAAAAGATGAGCCAGGAGCATTGTTTATCTGAACATGTTTGTTGTGTTGTTTTAGTATGTTCTAATCCACACTGGAGGTTATTTGCTCAAATTGTGGAGTATACATCTTTAAGCTAAGTGATAAATATGGAACATACATCATTGCGACAGTGCACAAGGGTCGGGCTGTTGTTCTCATGATGCTAGTCTCTCTTTAGACGGCCAGAAGATAGAAAACAGCGGCTGAAAGGGCAAAGTCATCAGCAAAGTTAAGCTGCATAGTAACCACCAGCCTTAGGTATTGATTTCTGTGCCTGCTTCCAGAGTAAAACATAATTTACATCAAAATATGTAAGAAACCGTATACACTCTCTGATGCTGTGGGAGTGCTTAAAAGGCATTCAAGATTTTGTCCAGTTAAAGTCTTTAACCTTGTAGAGGTGTTCATTCATTTGGTGTTCTTGATTGTAACTGAAGTTATTTAGAATTGAAGTCTGACATTAAGTACTTAACATCCATACCAGCATATCTATCTATGATGCCATCATAAGGGCACCATATGATTTCATATAACTTGAGTCCTATAGTGATGAAACAATTAGGAATATGTATACTTTGAGAATGTGGTTGTGTTGTTAATTGTTGGGGGGGGGGTTGGTTTAAAGACCAGTACCCTGATTTTAAGCACACTTACCTAAAATTAAGTTGTTTTGAGATCAGCTGGATTTGCTTTCAGGTAAATGTGGTTATGATGTGCCTTTTAAATCATTTATGATTCCTATCAATATTAATATTAATAAACATAATCTAATGTAATGTGTATATTTCCAAACAATTTCCTAAGTCTCAGTCAACTTTCTACTTGAATTCTATATTTAAACAGGGCAGATGTGATTCAAGCTGCGGAACTGAAAAAAGAGTTCTTTAATAAATAGGGTTTTTAATAACTGCATAACTGGAATAAACTTCTGGCAGAGTATGTATGCAGAGTATGAATATATCTGTACTATTGCATATATTTATTATTTATTTATTATCTTAGGATTGTAGCCCACCCTCCCTTGCATAGCAGGGCTCAGGGCGGGTAACATCAGGTATCGACAGCAATGTTAAAACAATAAATTAAACATTAAAATCCAACGTATAACAATGATAAATAACTACAATATATAGCTAAATCAGACGCCAGCACACAGTTTGGCACAACTAGGTGCATTGTCTCCTTGGAGAGGTTTGTCTGTGGAAGTCGTGATGGTACTATAGCGGATTAATCTGCCAAGCAGAGCAACAAAGCAAGACAGGTCAGGGGAGGCCAGTACAGATGGAATTGCCGCCTCAACCATAGGCCTGGTGGAACATCTCTGTTTTGAAGGCTCTGGCTGAGGCTAAGTGGGTATCTTTTGGGCCAGGGATCACCAGTAGCTTTTGACCCATTGAGTGTAACACTCTCTGGGGGACATACCAGGAGAGATGGTCCCACAGATATGACAAAGGCAAAAGACTTCGCCTCGTGTACAAGACTGCTTCTTCCCATTATTCTGTTAAGCATGGTGTTCCTGTGCCCTTCAGAGTTTTACTGCAGTATACTAAGTCTCGTCAGAATCCATCAATGAAAGAATAGCATTTCCAGCTTTTCAGAAAAGAAGCTATAGATCTTATGCAAAGGGTTGTGCTGCAATGATTTTCTATTTCATATACCAAACGATGGATTACTTGATTACTTTACAGCATGGATGAGGTTATGGTGGCAGTTGTCCCATACCTATCCCGCATTCTCAGTGGCGATGTGTTTCAGTCATTTTCCCTTTTTTGTTGTTCACTCGCACAGTCGAGTCAGACTCTTCGCGACCCCACGGGCCACATCACACCAGGCCCTCCTGTCTTCTGTTGTGCTCCGAAGTTTGCTTACTTTCATGTTCGTTGCATCGACAACATTGTCTACCCATCTCATTCTTTGCCGTCCCCTTCTTCTTTTACCTTCAGGCTTTCCCCAGCGTCTTCTCCAGTGAGTGCTCCCTTCTCATTTGCTGGCCAAAGTATTTGAGCTTCAGCTTCGGTGTTTGTCCTTCCAGGGAATAGTCAGGGCTGATTTCTCTTAGGATTGACTGATTCGATCTCCTTGCAGTCCAAGGGTCAAGAGTCTTCTCCAGTTTTCAATTAATACTATGTTTGTTTAGGAAAATTGCAGTTCTGGAATTTGAGCTGTTTTGTGGAATTTGTATTTACTAGGTGTTCTGGCTTGCCTGGATGGGTACATGAACATAGCTTTGGAACAAACAGAAGAATATGTAAATGGACAACTGAAGAATAAATATGGGGATGCGTTTATCAGAGGAAACAATGGTAACTATGCTCAGTGGAGAACAAATTATACAGCTAAGCCCTGGGTTCTCATGACTCCCCTCTACCCTGCCTAGTTTTTTTTTTTGTCTGTTCACATTTTCCACAAGCTTTACAAGATTGTTCCTGGATTTGGCACCAGTTTTTTTCGAGGAGGAGGAGAACTGGAAGGTGGTAAGGAAGGCAGCGATTCTGCTTGAATTTTGTGCCAGTGAAGCGTTATATTTTTTTTAGGGATGATAACAGGAGAGGACTAATTTAGGAGTGGGTTAGGGAAAGTGTTTGCATGTTTAAAGGCTTTATGATGCAGGAACTGAAAGCAGCTCCTCCAGTACAGTTGCTCATTTTGTTGTAGTTAGTTGGAGGGGGGGGTACTCTATTCTGTGCATAGTAGTGTACATATTTAAGAATAATCAGATCTGTACATTTAGTATGAGGGAGGAGCAAAACAGTGTGAAGATGATCCAGTTTCCAGTAAGAGTTGCCAGTGAGAGTGTTATGCATATGGTTAAACCTCTTGCACTGTAGTCAGTATACCTGACAGTGCTTAACTGTTGTTAATCTAAGGACGATCTGGCATTTGCTTCACATTTTCTCAACACTGAGGGAAAGGTGCTGCTCAAAACCACATTCAAATACTGTGCTGACTGCAAAGTCACCCCTTAACGGCAGTGAATCTATGCAGAAAGTACCATAAAACCTGATGATCAAAGAAAGTGGCATGCAGTGTAGAGGGTGGTATCATAAAATCCGATGATCAAAGAAAGTGAAAGCAGCATGCAATGCAGAGGGGAATTTCTGTTCCATAGTGGTTTTGATAAAACAACGGAGGGAAAAACCAATGCAGAATCGCCCCATGTCTTTAGTGAACCACGTGGTTGAGTTTGGCTTACTGCTGAGATTTTTCATTTTTTAGCACTGGTGGCAGTAATTATAAACCAATGAAAAAAATAACACTGGATATAACATTGAATGGTCCATGGATTGCTGCCTATACAGCTGTTTCTTATCTGTCACATACTATTAGATGTCTGTAAAGCATCTTTACCATTTGCCTATTACCTAATATGCTGTTTTTATTTTATTTTTTACAGTTTTGTATATAAGTACACAGAAGAGGAGAATGTGAATTTACCTGAAGGTGGAACATTTTGGATTGCAACTTTTGTTTTTTAACCAAGTTTTATTTGTAGTTGATGATTCATAGTGATGTTTTGTTGCATTCTGCTGTAAAGCTGTATACACTGTATGGAAGGCTGGACAGTTTTTTTAGTATGTGTATTAACAAAACAGAACATTTTTTGACAAACTGTTTGGAATACTTTATGTTACAGAGTGGAATTAAATAAAAATGGAAAATAATTTGATCTCGTTTATGCTGTAAAACTAATGTTAAACATCATCTGGTACTTCAAGCAAACAGTATAGAAAATCATGCCACACTGGTATTGTATGAGTTGCCAATGTGTAAAAGTCAGGTTTCCACTTTGTATGATTGCCTAGGTAAGAAAACCAAGTTATGGTTTTAACAGTGTTCTCACAAAAATCTTGAAAGGGGGTGGTGGTGTCAGTAGCAACAACAGGAAGTAACAGCTGGGATGGTATATCCAGAGCTTGGCACTGCGCCAGCTATGGCTGTAAGCAGGGGTCATTTCATAGAAAAAGAGGTGCAGGAGCTCATTAGCATAACTTATTTGCATATGCCACGCCCTCTGACATCACCAAAAGTGTGTCAGAAGGCAACACCCACCGCTCAGGCTCCACTGGACTGTTTTGGATTGCTAGCTATTGGGGGGGGGGACGTGCAGATCTGTCCTCGTAGAGGAGGGAGAGCTTGTACCTGAGTAAAACTTGGCCTTAAAGGTGCCACTGGACTGTTTTGGACCGAGGGGCCAGGGGGAGCTCCTCAACTTACCTGGCTGCCTCTTGCTCTGACTGAGGGCTGCTGGGAGCAGGGGGTGGGGCTTGTTGCATGTGGCCGCCCCCTGGGCTCTTTACTGCCGGAGCTCCGCTCCTGTGCGCTCCTGCAGGAAATGACCCCTGGCTGTAAGCACCAGAAATTAGAAACTTTTGCCTGTGCCAGAACTCCCAAATCCCAGCAACTCCCCCCTTTACCCTTGCCTGCAGTTAGCTTTCTTTTCCATCTCCCCTTACTTAGCTGCAGCTCAGGAAGCTTCGTGAATCTGCTTGGCTTTTGTTGTACTGCAGAGTGTGACATTTGATATAAAATGTAGAAGCTTAACAATGATGCTTAGGCTTTTGGTTTTTTAATGTTAGTTTTCAGGACAAGAAAAATGAATTGGTAGTTTTTACCATAACAGAATAAGGAAGGCCGTATTGGGTTGCTGTGGTGAAATTGTTGGGGGACTTATTTACCTAGTATAATTATTAATCGCTCTTACCCTTTTCCTTTCAAACACTTGTGGCAAGAGAAATGTTCAGCTTGGTGGCTAGTACATTAACCTGAGGAAATGGAGTTCTGTAAAGACATCAGAGAGTATTATATAGCAGTTTGTTAAAATTCAGTAGATTCACTTATAAACTAAAACAATAAAATTAGATTTTATTTGAAAATATACACATTTCCCCGTTTGTAGTAACTAGTGAATTTACAAAGAGATCCCCCCCTTTGAACTGTTTCACGGAAACTGCAGAAGAGTACATCAATACCGTATTTAAAATATTGCTTCTTATAAGGTTACAAAGCCCTCCAGCATGGGGTATGTTGTACAGCTTATTATTCTCTGAACAGTTTAATGCTGCCTTTAAGAACAGCACAAACTTTTCAGTTGTGCATGAATGAACACTATACAATTGTGTGAATACAGCAGTGACCCCATCTTCTCAGGTACCAAAATACTTTCAATACAAGAAAGGAACAGCAACACTTGAAGAGGAAAAATTAATAGTTAAACATTTCACGTGGCTCTACACTGTATGCCAAGAAGACACCATTTTGTAGTATGCTACAGTTATTTATAATTTTTACATAGGTTTAAGTAAGATCCAGCATATAAATCACAAATATGGGCATTTATTTTAAAAAAATAAAATAATTTGTTTTGGAGAAGGTATATGTTTAACAGGGTTGTTTCATTCCTTCATTTCCTAAAGTGGCTTTTGGAAAAAGCTACTCTGCTTTGTTTCCAAAAATCTGTTATACAATATTTGTGGAAATTTATTTTAAACACAACCCTTTATTTTGTTCTCATTCTATGTTTGTTTACTCCTCTTGGCAATTACAGCTTTATGCAAGAGCCCTGATCCAGACTTGGCATATGCACAGCCATGCGTATGTACCCCAAGACAGGGTTTGGGGTTTCACATTCCCACCTGCAATACAGGAAATGAAAAATGCATCCCTGTAGGGTGATGGAGGGGGGTGTCATCTGATCTCTTACATCCGGATGTGCTCATAGCAGGATGGATTTCTATCCAATCTGAATATATGGATCCTCTGTCACAAGGGCTAAAGGGCTTAGCATTTGGGCTGATAATTTCTTTTAACTTTCAATTTGGTGTTAGCTTTGTTCAGTAGAGGGAGCAGTGTAATGGACTTAATAACACTATCTCCAGGCTCTTGGTATCCCCATTACCTGCCTTTAAATGCACAGGGAGCAAAAGCAAAACTTGCAGGAAATTAGAAGTTACCCAGTCTTCATTTGGGGATCTCCTACAGAGAAAATATGCAAATAAATGAAGCTCTGTGTTTATGGTATTCAGAATACCTAAAATGTTGCAGTTTCTTGGTAAAGATGAAGCTTATTTTGACTTTGATCTGTCAATTGAAACAATCCTTCCTGAGTACTTCAATGAATTCTGGGTGCCCTTCGAATGACTGCTAAAGGCCAGATGAACTGTTGATGTATAGCAACTGCTTTAAAACGGCCGACTGTTAAATTTCGCCATAGAAGTGTCAGTGATAAAGATGAAAGATCAGTGTCTTCATATAGAATTCTGGTGCCTGCTTTTTCATGAGTACCAATTTACTGAGTTTGGTTTGCCATCACCTTTGATTCTGCGCTACTAAGAGGGTGAGTTGATGGAAGGGTGACAGTGAGTGATATCTTAATCATCAAGAGTGCATCCAGCAAAGATCTGTCTCTAATTACCCTTGGGAACCAATAACAATCCTCTTCTTTCTATTTTTATTCTGCTTGAACCAGATCTTAGCATAAAGGGAACAGATAAATAGAACAGTTGTCCACTGGACTTCAGAAGGATTGATGTTTGTGTTTTAAAATAATTGCTTGCAACTTAAGAAAGGTTGTTTCCATACTTTGCTCTTGGGATTGAATCTACTTTAGTGAGACTGTAGTCAAGGAATAAGGAGCTGCGGTGGCTCAAATGGTTAAGACGCTGAACTGCAGGCTGTGGAAGGTCGGTAGTTCAGCAGTTCAAGACCCGGGTGCCGCATGATGGAGTGAGCTCCCATCTCTAGTTCCAGCTCCTGCCAACCTAGCAGTTTGAAAGCAAGAAATTGCAAGTAGATAAATAGGTACCACTTTAGTGGGAAGGTAACAGCGTTCCGTGCGCCTTGGTGTTTAGTCATGCCGGCCACATGACCACGGAAACGTCTTCGGACAGCGCTGGCTCTTCGGCTTTGAAATGGAGATGAGCACCGCAACCCTGGAGTTGGATTCGACTGGCTTTTGAGCAAGGGAACCTTTACCTTTAGTCAAGGAATATGGTAAAAATAAACTTTATACTCCTCACGCTCCAGTGATCTGAACACCTGTTCTGAAGCTTCAAGCTAATACTTGCGATCTTTCTTCACGGTAAGAATGGGATTTTCTGGGCATGACCCGTATTCTTGGCTGGAGCCACTGACATCATCCAGAATAGGAGTGGAGAGCAGAGAGACTTCTAGATCAGGTGGTAACGTTCACCCTTTCCGTTATTAAGCCTTGACTGTGTTGAAGGTGGGTATTTAAGTTTATGTGAATACTGAGCGGACTGAACCTGTTTTAGAATTTTTCTCCTTCCCAGTGTATTTCTACTTTTGCTGTAGAGTTATGTACATAGAACTAAATAGGACATGTCCCACAGTGTGCAAAAGAAAACTCCTCTTTCTTTGCTGTACAACTAAAAGGAGGGGGGAGGCCCTCACCTATCTTCTGTTTCCTAACACAAACCCTGGATGATTCCCCTATTTTCTTTCCCTGCTTGATTGGCTGCAATCCCATGTTCACTTAGGAGTAGGTGCTAATCATTTCAGTCAGTTTATCTCCAGTATAAATGTGTGTAGCATTGTAAACGTGCATTGTATTTTCATTACACAAGCACTTGGTGGCTTTTTGTCTTTTTTTTAAGAGGATGAGTAGACTGTGAAGAAAACTAACATGATTAAAACTGGATTTGAGCACTGACAAAGTTCCTGTAGGTATTAAGTATTGGCAGTAACAGCTGTTGCGCTCCCCATTAGTGGAGAAAGCCAAGAATTTTTGCTCTAAAGGATGTTTGCCTGAGAGGCTGAAGGAGAAAATTGCTGGGAGCCTGAAGGATCATGTGCCCCAAGGTAAGTGACTGGCTGTGTCAGAGACTGGAGCTTCAAATGTACTTCTGGTATCTAATATCTAGGAGAGGGGGGTGGAGCCAACTTATGACAACCCCATAGGGTTTTCAAGGCAAGAAATGTTCAGAGATTGTTTACCATTGTCTGCTTCTGCATAGCAACCCTGGAATTCCTTGGTAGTCTCCCATCCAAATACTGACCAAGGCCGACCTGCTTAGCTTCTGAGATTTAATGAGATCCTGGGCTATCCTGGTTAGGGTAGAGATTGTATCGGCTCAAACAAAACTGGGAAATTCAGGAGGCATAACTTAATGCATATCCGAAGTAAGACAATTTATTACTAAAGCAGGTAAATTCCCGGGGAAGCTGTTTCTAGCATGGATTATCTTGCCAAGGTGGATGCCTGCACAGGTAGAGCCCTTAGGTAAGTTTAAGAGGTGGCTCCATTACAGTGTCTGTTCTTTGCAATACTTAAATAGTTGTAAATATAGTTTGGGCAAAAAGGCTCTGCTAAAATCAGTCTTTAACTGTATGTTTTCCGCTTAAAGTTAAGAAACGTTTTAATACTTAGTGGCATTCAAAGGGGCAAATTTGGAGGTGACAGAAAAGCATATGTGCTCTGAAGAGTAAGAGTACACAGAAATAAAGTTTTAAAGGGCTTACAAAACGGCGACACATCAGTGGGTGCCTTTGCTGGTGTTCGCAATGCTAGATTTAAGCGGCTTGATTGGCACAGCCATGAATGCTGAAGCTTTGAAGATGCCTGTAAAAAGTGTTTTTATACCAAATCAGCACCTGCACGGTTGAGAGCGGGTCTTGCATTGCTGCTTGGTAATTTGTAGGAAGCACCAGCCACTAGGGAGTATGTATTTTTCATTACAGCTTGTTGGCAATATTTAGAAAATCAGGGTGTAAATTAAATGCCTAAATATGTGCCCACAAATGCTTCTCACAAGGACTATGCTACCTAAGTTCCAGCAATTCAGTGTCATGGTTTGAATGCTCGGGGGGGGGGGGTTGAGTCCTCTGGTGTAGTGGTTAAGTGCCAGTTTGGTGCAGTGGTTAAGTGCGCGGACTCTAATCTGGGAGAACCGGGTTTGATTCCCCACTCCTCCACTTGCACCTGGCTGGATGACCTTGGGCAAGCCGTAGTTCTGATAAGAGCTGTCCTTGAAAAAGAGCAGTTTCTGTCAGAGTTCTCTCAGCCCCACCTACCTCACAGGGTGTCTGTTTTGGGGAGGGGAAGGGAAAGGAGTTTGTAAAGCACTCTGAGACACCTTTGGGTAGTGAAGGGGGCGGGGAATAAATCCAATCTCCTCTTCTTCTTCTAGCGTTATTCACACTGTGCACAAAAATTGGGTTGCTGCTGTGTGAAAAACGTTGACTGGAAAAGGTCCTATATATTGCTGGTTTTGCTTCTCAATTGACAGCTCACTTCTTACAGCATAGCCAGTGTTGAAGAACTCGTGCACTGCTAGATTGGTGTGAGCCAGAAGTGTATTGGCATACCAGTTTAGGTCACAACCCTGCCAGGATGGCTTTTCCAAACGTTCCGGAATAAGTCAAAGCTCGCTTTGTTCTTGAAATGTTTTATTTTGCGGTTTAACCAGGGCAGAGCTCCACAGATGACTAAACCTCCTTTCTAGCTGTCCAAAGTTTTTGAAAGCCCCGATTTCAACTAAAACTGGAATTTCAGAAGTGTTGCTAGCATAACTTCACACTGACTATATTTTTATAGAGGTTATTACTGTGCTTTCAGTCCAATGTGTTTTTTCTGCTAGGTGGAAGATGAGATGAAAGCCCAGGCTCTTTTTGTCATATGGGCACTTACAGTTCTGTGCTTGGTTTCATACTCTGCTGCATTCTCCCACGGCGCCAGTCTTTCAGCATGTACTGACATGAGACCCAAACACATCAGAGCTCACCTTCAGAACCCGCACAATAACTATATTACCCTCCACACCAATATGTCTCTCTTCTTTCCAGGTGACAAAGTACCGGGTAAGGAGCAGCAGTTATCAATGTTATCAATGGGGGGAAAGACAGAAGGCATATCTAGGCTTACTGCAAGGGCTTAGGTGGTGTGCATTTAATGGTTCTTTCTCTTCACCATGTTGGGAAGTATGTTTCTTGAATGCTGTCTGCTGTCATGGGCCACCGGCATTTGCCAAAGTTCCACTCGCTTCCCAACGATAAGTGGATGTGAACAACAAGAGGAACTTTGCAGCACTGATAGAAAGAGTTGGGGCAACTTTCCAAATGCAAATGCTTGCGAATGACGAGTGCCCTTGCAGAGTGAGGTTGGGAGGTTATGCTACTTAGGAGGAAACATTTTGATTGTAAAACGAGCATGGTAGTTCTAGAGTGCAGTCTCATATATTTTTTTTGTGTGTATGTATGTGTGATCCCCCGGAAAGTGTTATGTTTTTGTGCACACATATATTACAAGAGTTGCAGCTTGGTCATGGTATTGCTTGGAATCAAACCCCAGCATTTATAATACACACAGATTACTGCCGTTTCCGCTGTCTGCCAAAGGAGCAGACAAGCCTCCTCCAATAGAATCATCAGTATCTTCTGTCTCCCATAGCAGTCCGTGCCCCATTTCATAGGAGCAAGGGTCTAGTGTGGTGCTATTTTCAGCGGAGTTGCACCCATAGAAGCACATTCAGTGGCACTGCTAGGGACCCTGTTTATTATGGGGCTTGAGATGATAGAAGATACATATTTCTACTGGGTCAGAGGTCTTCTGGACATCTTGCTACGCTTTAATCAATCAATGATTTTTAATGTCAAGACCACAGGTCATAAGGAAAAAGGATAATCACAGAATTTAAAAAATGGCACCAAATAAACTCCACAGGTACTGCTCATTATTATTGTAACTATGTGTTGGTGTCACTGAATGACTGGACCCATAGAGAAAGGAAGTTTGGAAGCTATCAATAAATACTGAAATGTTGAAAGCTGAAGTGTTAAGAAATTTGAAAAATTATTAATTAAAAACAATGAAATATGCATTCTTTCCATACAAGCAGTGGTTTAAAATGAGATAGAGCGGTTATTACTTAGATTCTGTGCAAGGGACAGAATTTAGCTGGCCAAGCACTGATCACCTCTTTTGCTTCCTGCTCAATGAAGTCCAAGTGTGTCCCTTATCCACTACTTGGTGGGGGCAGGGGGCCAAAAGGGAACAGTGAGTAGGGTTTTTATAGTAACCCCTTTCCCTCCCAGCCATGATGGCACTGGAGCTATGTCTGGCTAAAGGATTGAGCCAGGCAGTGTTTTGAAAGAGGAATGTCCAGCCTCCCTGGATTGTTGGTGGCTTTTTTGGGGGGGGGGATATCACTCTTTTGATGGAGTATATTGGAGGCTTTCCCTGCTGGTCACCAGAATTAAGTTTCTGTTTCCCACTGTCTACCAGGCAACTATATTTGCAGACCCCTGGTTAGTTGGGAAAAGTTAATTAACATAAGAGCTATGGGGCAGAGAAGTGTACCAGAATGTTTTTGGCTGAAATTTTGTGTCTCTTCCATGAAACTGGTAGGAGTTCTTTTAAAAAGCCGTTATCTCAGCCTCAATCCAACATCTGTAATCTTGGGGTAACAAGGCTGTCACACAGATTACTGAAATAATGTACCTGAAAATGCCTTGCATTTCTAAAACAAAGCATATAAATACTAATGTTGCTGTGATTTATAATTACACCACCACCACCAAAGGATGCGGTTTTTCAGCTCTCATTCGATAAACAGACACTTTCCCTGAATGTTAGTGAAGACATTTTTAACAACACTTGATCCTATGGAGCAGAACTGAGTACCTTGCAAGAGTTTAAATGAGAGCATGACCTGTAGTTTCAGTTTTTAAACCATAGCTTCCCAAACAGTTCTGATTACTTTGGCATAACTGGTTTGAGGATTAAACCCCATATTATTCAAGCTGGAGCCGATAATGATGTTCACCAGCAAAATAACATCTGTGCAAAGAAGCCGATTCCTGCTTAAAGTGAAAACTCTTGGAAGTGTCACAGCACCCACTGGTTTGGAAAAGGGGCCAGTTCTGAGAAGGGGGAAAACAAGAGGCAGGACTTGCTGGAATGAGAGGAGGAAGGGCCAGAGTTGCCCCTGTATATTTGCACCTGTGGAGAAATAAAAACTTGTGTGTGTGATTTTTTTAAATCATAAAGGGATTTTTGGCCCAGGGTATCTCCCTCCCCCAGAACTATGGCCCCAATCCAAATTAGATATTGATTTATTTATTTACTTACTTAATTTATACCCTGCCTTTTCCCCCAAGGGGAACCCAAAGCAGTTTACATCGTTCTGCTGTCCTCCAGTTTATCTTCACAACAACCCTGTGAAGTGTAGGTTAGGCTGAGAATGTCCGATTGGCCCACATTCACCCAGAAGGCTTCCATGGCAGAGTGGGGATTCACACCCAGGTCTCCCAGATCCTTGTCCAGCACCCTACCCACTATACCACACTGGCTCTTGATTTCCACATCCTTTAATTTATTTATTTTTTAAAGCAAGACGATCTGATCATGGATTCCTTGTCATTCTGCCTAGTTTGTCCCAGAGACTCAGTATCTAGGAGGGGGCCTGCTGAATGGGAGTCCTGAGAGATGGCAATCAAATAAGTCTAACCTGACTGGATTGAGGACCTTTAGGTGTACCTCCATACTCATCCTAACCATGCCCATGCTTAATACAAGTGCAAATATTGTGTCATGTCATTTTAAAAATCAAAAGCAATTCAACATCAACCACGTTTTTTATCCCAGAATGTAGGTGCAAAGTTCCACAATGCAGACGTTAAAACTGATTCCCAAAGGTTGGCCTTCTTGTGTAACTTCTTCTTTGCCTTCAGTCACAGTGAGAAGCACACGTGATTTCATGGGCTTTATGCTGCAGGCTCGCAGGGTATCGAATGATCAAATTGCCGGCACTTTTGTTTACATTCCTCCTGGCTCCAAACTCCTGACTTGTTTTGAAGATGGTGATACTGTTACCCACTCGGACAAGTCACTGAAGAGAAACCTCTCCTTTGTGTGGAAGGCACCGGATCAGCCCGTTGGAGACATCCGGTTTTTGTAAGAAACTCTTGCTTGTTCTCTTTCTGAGGAAGTCTTCTGGTGGAGAACCAAGGGAAGGTGGTTGGCTGGCTCTTTGCACGATTCCCTGGGAGACAGAGATGTGGTATGGATTCTAGGCACATATCCACACCCACGTACATACACAAGACCCATTCTCAAAGATTTTTATTTGCACATTCTGGTCTTTGACTTGATTTCACACATTGGAAACTAGTTCCTGGTTAGCTAAATATAGATCAATATCAGTGCTAGTTAATCATATGGTCAAAGGGAAATCTCTTCAGATTTATGCCATTACATTCAATGTAACATAACACCCCCTGCAAAACAAAAAACAAAAAACCCACCTCCCTCTCATGTTCAGTGAGTGTGGATCCAGATTTGGCTGGGCAAATGTACCCTAAGATAAGTGATTTCAATGTGCAGTCAGTTACACTCCCCCCACAGTAGAATCTTGCTACAGTCATAGTTGCAAGGCTGAATCAGAAAAAAGTGTTCGCTTCTTCTCTGACCATGCCTGGTAAATCTGTGTTTTCACTGGCACCTTTCTTTCTTCTGGTTGCACATAAACAACTTAACAACTGCACAGCAGGCATCGATACAATGGAGATGCTTGCCCCAGCATTGCAGTGCAGTGCAGTGATGGGGAACGCTTTATTTAATTTCTCTTTGATATTCAGCAAGTAAGAGTACATGAGTCCTGCCCAAAAATCAGGTAGTAACCCTCATCTCAGTTAGGCCAGGAGGCAGAGTGACAACCTGGCACTGTCCTACAAGTCAGCATCTTTGATGTCTTTATACACTGGACAGTGTGCTTGGTTTGATGGCAGTGGGGCCAGGGCCTGCTGTTGTGTGGCGTTTTGTTTCTTTGGGCACTTTTACTTATCACCATGTTCCTTTTCTAACTAAGGTACCCTAATGCTGATCAGAATTTCATATTTTATTCTTTAAGAAAAAATAAGCAAAGTATAGGAAACCTCGGTGATTTCTGACCTGAAGTGTAAAAAACATAGCTACCATGCAATCTACCACGGTATGACATTCTGATACCTTCAGTAACTTAGATCAAAGCTTCTGTGATTGGTGGATATTTGTGTAGGTATAATTATGAACAAGTCATATCCCATAACATAACAGACAACAGCAAAGACATAGACATCAGATGTGTTGTGAAAATCTATAGCTCAGATTCATTAAGTAATCTTTATTTATTTATTTATTCTTCACATTTATACCCCGCCCTCCCAGCCAAGGCTGGCTCAGGGAGTAGTCCTAAGGAGGTCTGTGCAGAAGTCGGGTCTCATGCTAGTCAGAGGGGCTCACTTCCAGGATAGTGCCCCTAGGATTCCACCCTTATTCACTCACAATTAAGAATTAACAGAAAATTCACCCTGCCTCCTTTCTTGGTTCTCACTTGTATTTTTAACCAAAGTTTTTCAAATGGAGCCATTTTTTGTCAAATTAATTTTTAAAAAGCTGATTGAATTAGAGAGCAGATACACAAATTGTATTTTGATTAGCTCTTACTCTTAAGTGACTTTTCGTGCAGTCCTTTCACTATGGTTTCAGTTGGTTATTTGTTGTTACTCCAATATAAAAAGTGTTACAGGCTAATCCTTTAATGTCCTTTGCACTAATTCTGTTTGTACATTTTTAAAAATTCCTTTTGATTTACCAAATGTTCTGATGATTTATTAATGGTACAGAATAACTAAACCCGTGCTTCAAATGCTTTTTTTGTTTTTGTTTTCTACCCCCACCCCCAACAGTTTATCAGTAGTCCAGTCCTACTTTGTTTACTGGGCAAGGATTGAATCTTCCACAGTATATCAACAAATGCAAAACAGAACCACTGCTGACCGCAGGATAGCCTCCAGTGCTGTAAAGCCAACACTTTTTCAGGAGCCTACTGATCTAGAAGGAGGATCTACTACAGGTAAAAGCATCTTGTTTCACATTTCCGTTTTCTTTTATCTATCACATGACATAAATTAGCCGGAAGGCTTCTACATTTCACCAGATCTTATACTCATTGACTTGGAAATAAATCCCATTGATTTCAGAGGACCTGATCTACAAGTCAATTCATATTCCATTAATTAGTGAATGAGTTTAACTGATCTAGGTTATTGCCCTTTGTTATTAATTTTCATTTCTGGGTAGCATGAACCATTGGCTTAGACTATTTCAAATGTTGAATTATGAATCTCACCTGCTTATGCATCTCATCTTCAATGAAGCTTAAGAATCTTTAATGACTTCTAGTTCTCACAGTCCTCCCTGTGAGCCCTTCTTTAGATGTTGCAAAGATGTGGGGGGGGGAGAGTAGGAGGGCAAGTCATTCTCACTTTCCCTTCCTCGTGCTTCCTGGCTAACATTGATGATTGAACTCTTGATTGATTCAGTGGCAAGCAACTTGCTTGCTACTGAGAATGTAATCTCTCACAATGAATACTGCTGCTTCTGGAATTATTTGCCTTGGTATCATGGCATCATTTGAATACCATCGCCCCCATGCTCTGTTCATAAGCTCCTAGAGGCATCCAGCAAACTACTGTCTTGAACATAATACACCGTTCTCAGTCCAGGGGTATGGCCTACTAAAAATATGTTTCAGACGCATGGCTGGAAGGCGCATGATGCAGCCAGTTAGCTGAAGCTAAGCAAGCCTGGCCACTGCCTGGATTGGAAGCTTCCCTGGAGGCCCTGTGCATGCTTCTCGCATTCTGCAGCAGGAGAAAAGTGGGATATCAGTGAAATAAATGACCGTGGTTACACAAGAGTACTTTGTGAGTTTATATTATATACAAAAATATAGTCAAAGGGGTCAAATCTGTTTCCTGATGGTCTCAGTATTTTATTTTCAAAGTTTTGCTTTGGGTTTTTCTTAAAGGTTCCTCTCAGTACACCGTCTTAACTCAGATTGCAAATGTATCATCTACCAGCCTGAGTCAGATTGCAGCAACACTGGTTCTGGATCCAGCTTATAGCAGACAGCAAGTGTCGGAGCTCCCTGGCAAAGAAAATCTTCTCTCTGAATCCCAAGCGGACTCTGTCACTCCACGGGCCCTCAGCCATGAGGAAGAACGGCCACCCCCTGGAAGTGGCAGAGAGAGCGATCAGCTGGAGTCCTCCCTTCAGTTTCAGGGCCTGGGCTTCAGAGCACGAGGCTATTCCTCCAGGCGCAGCACATCCAACGGGTACTGTGCAGCCATTAGATGTCATCTTGTAGGTACAAAAGCTGAGGAACATGGGATTCGCCAAACATAATGCAGCCCTCAGAGGTTCTGTGCTCTACATCGTGAGCACACTCCCCCCCCCCACATACATGTGCATTATTTTAACTATGTCAATATCACAATCAGTTATAACAACAACAGATCAACAGCTTTGCAGCATAGAAGTTTTGTTCATGAGACTTGTCCAAGATGGGCCCAGAAAAAGTTGTGCTTGGTGCTGCAAGCACACTAAAGGGGGGGGGGGAGAGAATCTGTCACCTGGGGGCTCACTGAAATTGTATCCATGTAAATGGTTCCTTTGCACCATGTGCATATGGCGGTTAGTTTGCCTTCATACTTCTGCATAGGAGGCTGTTGATGACTTGTAGGTCCAGAGCTCAACAAGTGGATACAGTTTCAAATGGCTGCCATGGAGAGGCCATTTTCCATGAAAGAGGCCTGATTTTATGTGACTTCTTTAGTGAATTAGGTGGAATTTGACCCTGCGAAGTTCATTTTCTTTAATGCATAAATAGTCTCCTAAACACAAAAAAGAGAATCTCATTAAGGCACCAACAGAGAGTGGAGAGAGACACTTAAGTAAGCTTTGGCTTGTGTCATGGAGAATCCCTAAGAGCAGTGTCTTGAATGGCAATATCTGCTTTTTAATGGTGTGTCTGTGTGTGTGTGTGCGCGCGCGCATGTACATAAATAAAGATGTGCGAGTGAGGGCATAATTTATTAATGGGAAAGGTGTGTGTTTAAAATTATTAGGCTACTTTCATGTAGCCTAAGAAGGCTGAGATTTGGGACCCATCTATCACAACACCTTGACTACATCTAACAGTAAAAATATAGGCTGGCAGAAAAAAAGGCAGTCCCAGAACAGAGCAAGCCAAAATGAGCAGAAACCGATGCTGTGTTGTGGGAATTCGTCTGGTACTTTGTACAACTGAATGAGTCTTGAGGGAATTTCCAGTGGCAGCCAGGAATGCACCTCTGGGCATGTTCAGAATGTAACTGAATTTATTAGTATGAAATATAATCAATTTACATTTCCCCATCCCAATATTTTAGGACAGAAAATGCCTCCAGTATTCCCAAGTCATCACTGTGTTCAACATGTACAGAAGGCGCAGAGGTAAGCACTGGAGTAGATGGCATTTGATTGGCTTTCAAGAAAGATCTTCGATAGCACATAGCGATTTTTCTGCAACGTTGTGGGTTTTGCATATGCTAGAAATGATTCATTTATTTGAACTGGTAGGCTCAGAAAGTGTTGCAGCATATTAAAATTATGCAGTATGTAATAACCCAGTGAAAATAGCCACCGTATGAATCTTGTGACTAAAATTAGAACTACCTATCAAACACAAACTCAGGTTAAAAATGCCTCATGGGCTGTTTTTCTGCATCACCATTACCATGAGAATACTGGCTGTGTTCTGAAAGAATCGTACACAGCTGTTAAAGGTTCCCTTGCTCGAAAGCCAGTCGATCCAACTCCAGGGTTGCGGTGCTCATCTCCGTTTCCAAGCCGAAGAGCCAGCGCTGTCCGAAGACGTTTCCGTGGTCATGTGGCCGGCATAACTAGACACCAAGGCGCACGGAACGCTGTTACCTTCCCACTGAAGTGGTACCTGTTTATCTACTTGCAATTTCTTGCTTTCGAACTGCTAGGTTGGCAGGAGCTGGAACTAGAGATGGGAGCTCACGCCATCATGTGGCACACCCAGGTCTCGAACTGCTGAACTACTGACCATCCACAGCCTGCAGTTCAGCGTCTTAACCCCTTGAGCCACCGCAGCTACTCAACACAGCTGTTAGGGCACATTTAAATGTACTAAATTCAATGAGAGCTGTGTCATGATTTAATATATATTTCAATTGTGATCATGTGTGAGCCTAAAAACAATGTTCTGTTCCCAGCTATGTGCAGAGAGAAGAATTTGGGCTTTGAGCTTACGGAATTCTTGAGCACAGTTTTGTGTTGCATGTTGTTAGGGGGGAAAGACCTAGTACCTGACTCTGTACTCCTGAGATACGCGGAAGAGCTTTTAGGGAACGTGCTGGTCTGACATCATTCTTTTCCGTTAAAGGAATGGCCACACCAGCAGTCTTTTGAGTTGCACAAACTGTTATTTATAGCGTGTGTGTATACACGTCCTTTGAGCTTACAGATTGTATATAATTTTCATTCCACATAAATTCAGTTCTTTGCTACTAGATTCCCCCACCCCCCACCCTTCTTCCATCGAACTCAGGCCAGTGTTTTATTCCTACAACAGCCTGTGGGGCTGGGGAAGCTGAGGAGGACTGTTCCAAGGTCACCCCATGAGCTTCCATGGCAGAGGAGGGATTCCAGTCTGTGTCTCTGTGATCATAATCTGACCACTACACCACACTGTTTCTCCATTACTTGACCCCTACCGCAACCACAGAGGATCCGTTAAAAGGCTTTGTTCTTTCAAAGACTGTCTGGAAGATCTGCCTCATTATAGACGAGGGATGCCACAAATTTCGCAGTGAACATGTATGTCTGTCAAGCTTAGTGTACAAAGGTGGTGATCAGACATGAGCTAGTCCCTCGGTCTGTTTGGCTTGTGCTGAGCAGCCACAAGAACCGGGTTTTTGCAAAACTGCACATGCACAAAGACACTGCCGAGTCAAACTGATCAGCAGCCATTAGCATTACTAAGCACTGCTTTGACAAAAACTGAAGGGTAGGATTTTATTGAGACACAGCATTTATTTATGCCTGATTTATATTGACGTGAATGATCTAATTGTCTATTTAAACAATCGCCTGCTGA